TTTGGTTTGGTTTGGTTTGGTTTGGTTTGGTTTTGTTTTTGGAATTTTTTTTCCGTATTACGTGCCTTTCTCAGGCCAGAACGGCAGCGGCGCTGCAGTCCGGGCCCCGTGGCCGGTACCTGTTCCCGTTCCTTGTGCTCCCTGCCCGCTACGATCCTGGTCCAGCGGGAAGCCCGGTCCCTCCATCCCTCCGGGAAAGCGCCAGCAGGGCAGAGGGGTGGTGTCACCGCTGTCGCTGCCCGCCGATGTCCTCCTGCCAGCCCGCCTGCCCTCCGGGCCCGGGCCGGCCCCGCCGGGCGGAGAGCGGCGCGCAGCACCCGTCCTGCGTGCGGGACAACGGGATGCGGGCTCCGCGGTGTCCCTGTGCCGCCAGGGAAACAGGGCAGAGGACCGAAGCACTGGGGTGGGCACAGGCAGCGGCTGAGTCGGGAAACGTGGCTAGTGCTAGCGGCCTGAGGAGAAGCCGGGCTGCGTGGAAGGGCAGGACGAAACGGGACACCAGTGTGCAGCGCAGACCCAAGAATCCATGGCTGGTGCTGGGCCATCCTGGGGGAATGGGAGGAGCCCCTTCGGAGGACAATAAACATTGGAATGAGGGTGTGGGCTGCTGCTCCTCGCTCCCCCCTCATTCCACATGCATGATGATACCATATCCCTCCATCTCGCTGGCTTCTTGGGGTTTTTTCCTTTCCTTTTTTTTTTTCCTCTTTTCCCAGAAATTGTATTTTGAAGACAACCAAAAGGAGAACGTGTTCTGGGTGTGGCTGCATGTGATTTACCCAATAGCCAAAGTGGGGGGGCGCCGAAGGGGAAAAACAGAGCGTCTGCTGCAGAAGGGAGTGGAAGCTGAGGGCTGCAGTAAGTGATGGGGACCCTGTCTTTTCTTTCAGTGCTCCTCGAAATAACAGAAAAGCAAAAAAGAATGGAGGGAGAGAACGTGGGGGAAACTTTTCTTTGCATGCTGAGGGTGTGTGTGGAGCAGGGCTTAGCCATCTAAATGGGAAAAGAGGTGGGAACTGGAGAAAGGAGATGGAAAGAGGAGCAACGCACTTGGTGTTATAAGCTCAGTCTAGAATCTTTCAGAAATACCTGGAAAACTGGCCATGTGAGGAGGGAGATAGGAGGAAGGCTGGGAAGACCAAATGGTCTTGAGAGGAAAATGGGTACAACAACCAAAGTTTCTGAGGTGTAGGGGAGGGTACACCAGTTCCTGCCTTAGCTTTCCTCTGTTCTCTCCTCCACTCCACAGGGATGAAGACCTCTGGAACCTGTATACTGTTTTGTGTCTTAACATTCTTCTTGTCCCCAGCTGGTGAGTCCTTATGCCCAGGGAAAGGATTTCTTCCCCATCTGGGCCCCTTGTGAGTTTCCTACACAGAATAATGTGCAATGTCCTAAGGACAAAGACTGAAATATGCAGAGGGGTAATGAAGGAGGAAGGACCGAACAGGAAAGGCAAAGTGGATATAAGACTGTAAGGAAAAAATTAGAAACTGGAAACAGTTTCCCATCTGTGACACTCTCCAGTAAGTACTGGAAATCACAAGAGACAGAGGTCCATAGCTTCTACTGCAGGTATGCTATAGTAAGCAAATCATTATTATTATCCAGAGCAGGCTGAGAAAGAGGGTTAGGTGTGCTTTGTGCTTACTGCTGTGCCACCTGTGTATGCATGATCTACAGGGCATTTCCCAGTGCACTGCAAAATTTGTTCTGTCATAGTTGTGACACATTTGCTGTCACTAGCAGTTCCTGCTGGAATGACCTCATTCCAAGCCACTCAGCTGCTGGGAGCTTTTGTAGTATTTGTACAGCTGTTTTGAGAAACCTCATATATGTAGTTCATACCATTTTCTGCTTTTGGTGGTGGTGGTTGTTGTTATTCTATTTTGTGTCTCCATTACTTTGTTTGCTTGGAGACACTTCGGCAAAAATTCAGATCAAATTTGTTCTTTTTTAAAAATCACCACAACAACAAAAAAGAATGAAACAAGAGGGCAGCATCAGACATTAGACAGTCAGAAGACACAGGACAGGTAGTGAAATAATTACTTCAGTGAATGGACAAAGCTTCGTCCAGGAAAGACTGTATGTAGGAGAGAGATGACTACCTATCACATTCAAACCAGGTTATTCCAATACCCTCCTTGATCTTCCTCTCATGCTGAAACCTGATTCTGCTCCAAATAGCACTTTTTCCTTTAAAGGTGCACAGTAAACAATGTCATATTTATGACTGTGAAAAAGGGAGGTGAGGCATCCAAGAGATGAGCTTACAGGGGGACTACAATTTGAAAGAGGGGGGAAAAAAAAAGGCTGTGGTTTTTATTATGCATGAAGGAAGCCTGAAAGGAATATATCTTACTTTTGAGTATTTTGTTTTAGCACTTCTCTTTGGGTTTGTTTGTTTTAACTTGGAAAATAACAGGAATCACCAGCTGGTCTCTCATTGTTTCTTTTGATTTTGGGTAAGCTACAGATTTGGTGAGTTAGGGTTGCAGTTCTAGACCTCAAGGATGAATTTACTGTAGCTTGCATAAGAAAGTCGAGTCGTTTATAAGGCTTATTTATTGGGTACCACAGTAAATATAAATTGAAGTGATTGAAGGCGGGATAAGCAAATCACCTTTTTTGTGTCCTCACCTTGTATGCAGAAATTTCACTGCTCTTATGTCCTTTTGTTTTAGAATTGGACTGGTTTTCTATTCAACCCCTAGGGGAAAACAAAATTCGTAATAGCTGACTTTTCAATGTTAGAAAAGAGGGAGGACCCTCCACGTCTCTTCAAATCCAGCATTTCTGCAATTGTTTCAGGATTTGCATCCTTCTTTTTGTATCAGGAACAAACGAGAAAGTGCTCAGCACCATTTTCTTCTCTACTTGCTACAGTAAAGAGATTACCCAGAACAGGGGAAGTTTTGGGCTGTATTAAATTGTGTACATAAGTTATTATACACGTCTGGCTCTCCCTGGGTTAATCGCCAGCAGCTGAGCCCTTGCTGGCAGCTGGGTGGGGAGCAGAATATCAGGGTCCAGCAACTCTTGTAATGCTGTAGAGAAGGATTATGTAGGGCTCCCAAGAGACCCTCTGCGGCCTGCAAGTAACTGCCCTTGGAATGTGGGAGAACTATGACAAAATCTCCAGACCTGATAGTTTTTACCCACACAGTGCTCCCACTAAGAGCAGAAAGCTGCAGGCTGAGGTCACAGACATAGCGGGATATACTGATTTTTGGGCTGTCCATGCACACATTCCTGCAGTGCCACAGATCACTGGCTTTTTCCTGCCAACTCCTTCCTTCATCTCACCCCAGTTATGCAGACATTTCCCTCGTCTGTGGCTAGCAGGAAATATTTTCCTATTCCTGGCTGCTCTAAGGAAGCTGATCTGTCACCCTTTGTATTTGAACAAACAAACAGTCTAGTCCAGCTTCAATTTCTTCCATGTAGCATGCACAGCCAAGCCTTCATCATTCCCCTTCTCCAGTTCACCCAGAGGCTGAGAGGGGAAAGATTATCTGCTCTGTGCTCCATAGCCAGGCTGGATGATTTGCCTAAGGAGCTACAAAACCTGCAGTCTGCTTTTTACTGTAGCAATGACTCAATCCGTGCTCCCAAGTGAATAATTTCCATGACTCAGTTTCCTCTTTTATTAAATAGACATAGGGATTTTGCTCAGCCTCCAGAGCAGGGAGGCTACATGGATTTTTTTTTTTCAAAAATGTATCAAAAGAGGTTTTAGAAGGGCAAAGTCTGGTAGCAGATCTGGAGATACTTACTAACTTGTCCGTCTGCCTAGCCACTGACCCTGGTGGAAGCAGCAGGGGTAGGATCAGGACCTGCTGTATCCACAAGCCTTTAAACAGCAAATACAGCCAGCAGTGGAGGTTGAGGCTGAGTCGAGAGCATTTCTCCCTTCAGCAGAGGGCAGTGGTGTCTCCTGGATAGATAAACATTAAAACTTCACAAAGCCTGCAGACTATAAAAATCTCTTTCTTCACGCCCCTCTCTTCTCTTGCAGACTGGTTTCCACAGATGGTCAATGGGCAAGAACCAGAAAGTGTAACTGGTAAGTTTTACAGGCATGTTAATGTGCTGAACATTGCTCATGTGACCCGCTTTTCCTGTGGAGTTACAGCCTGTTTATCAGAAAATACTCTTCTTTGTTTCCTTGTCTCTGATATTGAGAGCTTACCTTTCAGTGAAGATTAAAGCTCTCCAAGACAACCTGCTAAGTGTTACATGCTCTTTACAAATAATTCTCTAGTGCGGGGGTCCTGAGCACTTAGCTGAAGGGTATGAAGTTATGTTCCCAGTCGAGGGTTGTGGGAGATCCACAAAACCTGGTAAGTCTTCAATCATGAGATGCTTGGGGAACTCTACTGCTACTCTGAAAAATCCTAGGGAAAATGGTGCACAAGTGGCATGGTGCTTTAGTAGTGAGGCCGCTGGGAAAGCATATTGACTGATCTTCTTAGTGGCTGTGTTTTTGGGAGTGAATTGTTTCATCCCTCTGGACCTTAATCCATTTTTGCTACATAGTAAGGTAAAATGAATGTACATTGACATCATGCTTCAGCACCCAAAAGGACCACAAGGACTTGCCTTTTCTTCAAACCTGAAGCCCCTGGTTAAGCCTGCAGACATCTCCCAGCTATGATCCTGTGATGTGTAATAGCTGGGGATTCCCAGAAAACTATTCAGAAGCCAACCCAAAACATGTCCTTCAAGCAACCTTTCCTTCATGCTCTACCTCTCCACCACTACCCCAAATTTGCAATCAGTTGCTTTTCAAAGGAACTCATCCACTGGTGAATTTCTACAGTCAAGGCTAGGTTTTGGAGTTGCTTTCCTCCTTCTCTGCCATGGATGCCTCAGCTGTCTGTCCTAGTGCTGCAAGAGCCCTCAGAACCTTAATTTCAGAAATCTTTCTTTCCCATCAAGATGCCAGCAGTGGCCATATCTGAGAAGTCAAAATATGCATCCAAAATTCACTGAGGGTTGATACAACATTTGCACTAAAAAATCCAGCCCCAGGCCAGTCACCAGAGAGGGGAGTGGATATGGGTGTGTTGGGAATACTGTGTTTGATTATGTATTTGCTGGGTTGGATCCTACTGCCTCATGAGCCTATGATGGCAGGAGAGGTAATTCAAGCAGTCCCTGGCTGGCTGTGTAAGGGACTATAAAGTAAAGACAAGCTTTTTCAAGGACTTTATCTTTTCCAGATGGAGTTACCCCTGACAGCAGCTCTGGTAAGCTCCAATTCTTTGGTATCTTCATACTTCTTTTTCCCTTTTCACCACTCCTGCCTACACAGATGCATGAATGACCCATTATGCCCAGAAACTCCTCGTCCCACTTTTGATGAACAGCAGAGTTCTTCCAGCACTTATGGTTGTCTGGGAGTCCTTTCTGTGCTCCATGCAGGGAGATGAATTTAGGGTGACTTAATGGTCTGTTTCCCAAGGAAATGCCAATCTCACTTAATGTACCAGGGCTCTCTGAAAATGTTTCCACTGCAAGAAGCCATGAAATTCAGAGCTCACACATGCCTGGCTTCCAGAGAAGGTGGCAGGAACAAAGAGGCTGAATGACGAGGATGAGAAATTGGACAGGTTCAAACTGAGTTGTGTGTGTGAGTCTGCTGACAGGTAGCAGATGTGCTTCAGTTCTCAGGAGACAGAGGTGCCAAAAGAACCCCTGAAAGTAGTAAAGCAAACCCTGAGCATTGTTGGAGATAGGAAGTGGAAATTCTGTTCTTTTGGTACTGTCTGGCCCACTGTCCCTGCAGCTGCGTCACAACAGGGCAGCAAAATGCTGTGAAGGGAACGGTAGATGGAGGACTTGGAAGATAAACACACAGAGCACACAGTGCATGTCCTTAGAGAGTGGAGATGGCCTGAGGAGAAGGACACAGCTGATGGGAGTGTAGGCAATTGCAACAATGGGCAATGGAGGAAAAGAGAGGCTCAAGAGGGAGCCTCCCCACTTTTTCCAACCATCTGTCACCACTGGCCTTGGCAATGGTTTCTCTCTCTGCTGGAGAAGTCTCTCAAACACATCCCTCTGAGGTGATGAAGACCAGGCAGGGCAGGGAGAGGGAGAACACATGTGGCTCAGAGAGAGACAGCTATGCATGGCTGTTTCTGGGGAGTGTGCTCTGACTGTATGGGAACTCATCTGAGAGTGGTGTTGTTCTCTAGAACATCAACTCCACAGTTTGCCCTCTGCCCTGACTCTGCTCATCAGCTGGCTGCAGGATTTGTTGTGGGTCAGACTGCCATGAGACAACACTGGAAGAGGAAAGTGGAAGCATAATATTGTATCTATAGGATGTATGATCTTCGTGGTTGGGATGGGAGGTGAAAGCAACTGTGTTCATTGTATGAGGCCTGACAGTCTGTAGGAGGGTAGATAGGACTTAGCATCTAGAGCAAAGTGGTGGTGACTGACCTACATCTAAAGTTAAAAGACTAAAGGTGAAGCCTTTACAGCAGACTTGGGCTTCAAAATGCTTACTATTGAGGGATCAAGCAAAACTCTCCACAAAGGATGTGCCATTGGGACCCATCTTTCCTCTTCAACATCCTGTCAGCTCTAGCACACCCAGCATATTTGCAGGGAAAGCCTGCAGTTACTCTGACAAATCAGATAATAATACCACCACGATCAGCATTGTCTATGAACCAGATGGGAGATGGCTACTAGTCAGGACTGGTAAGCCAGCAGCAGAATAGTGTCAGGAAGAAACAGACTGGAAGCTCAAATTAAGATCTTTCAGTACATCTCTTTTTCCAGGTGCAGCTGTCACACCACCTGTGCTTCTTCCTCCTGGTGAGTTTATTCTGTTTACAGCCACACGTTACAGACCCTCCTTCCTTCTCCTCACACAGTCCCTTGCACACCTGAAATCCTGCCTTCTCTGACTGCTGCTAGGCCCCACACCCAAAAGATTCCTTCTCTTTAACCCATGTGTTATGTCTATGCTTCTGGCTAACACTATGGCACCTGAGCAGAAGTTCTCTGTAATTGCTCATAGAACTTGCACCTGGAAGTCAGTTCTCTGAATTCCTTTCCAGTTCATTACTGGGTAAATTATTAAATGGTCCAGTTTGCTGTGGTACAGGTGGGTTACTTTAACAGAGGGAATAACAAACCAATCTCTTTTTGACTCCTTATCATGGACATTAAAGAACCAGTGGTGTTGGGATGCTGTTTCTTAAAGGTGTGTGTCAGTGCTCCTTATGAAGGGCAGTCATAAACTTCTTCACTTCTTGACTCGATAAAGGTGAATTACAGCAGCTAAAGAAATTTACCTGACCTTTTAAGTCAGATTGTCCTTGCAGTGTAATTTTGAACAGTAGTGGTAATGCTTTATGGGAAAGCTTAGGCAAATTTTTAGCATTGTTGACTGCACTAGACTCACACTGGATTTTACTTTATGGTTTTGTGTCAGTAATCTTTTCCACATTAGAAGTGGAATCTTTTTCCACATTAGAAGTTACAATGGAAGGCTCTTGAAAGAGTTTTTCAGATATTTGTTTTGATTAAGCTGATTTCTAGGAAGGAATCATGGAAACGAACTAACTTTGCTACCCTCTGTCTTCCAGTTCAGTCTGACAGTGAAACCTCAACGGCTTCATCAGGTATGTTTTAAGTTTGCTGCCTGCACCCCCTCCCAGACACACTTTCACCCACCCTGTTAGCTCTCAGAGAGGTTCTGTCTGGGCACAGAACTTTGTCTCCTGGAAAAGTGCTTTAAATTGTTCCTTGAGTTAGAAGCACTGGAGAATGATGGCAGAGGAAGCTGAAGCCTTCTCCTGGATGGCATGGCTGGGGAGGGAGGAGCTGGCAGATCAGCAGACCAGATACAATGGGTTAATATCGTGTCAGGGTCAGTGGCCAAAACCTGACATTCTAGAATGACATGCAAGAAAATCCATTGTAGTTAGGTACAGGGTTGATTGTTCAGAAAAGAAAGAACTAGACTTATGTCCTGAAATGTGATAATTGCACATCTGTGAGAAACACATGTCTTAAATATGCAACTAAAATTCACATTTTGTTTGTATGTGTCTGTTCCCTTTACAACATGTGCCTCCTGTATTCTGGGTGTCCCGTGGGCTTGGTTTGCATTTCACTCAAATTTCCCTTCCTTTTGTCTTGCAAAGCAAGGGGATCAGAAATGTCTGCACTATTTTCCTGTTCTCTAAACCAGCCCCATCTCTCACATGAGAGCAACAAAGAGGCTAGAGCCCTTCCCTAGAAGCCTGGAGGACTGTACCTAGTGATTAAGTTATATCTGTGCCTGAATGTGTGCACCTGGCCGTGATGCCAGCTGGATTGCACCTCCATGTTTTTGTGTGTGTTCTCAGACTGTCGTGAGGAAAAGTTCCCTTGCACGCGCCTGTACTCTGTTCACAAGCCAGTAAAGCAGTGTATCAGCTACCTCTGTGTTACAAGGTAAGGAACCCTAAGAAAATCACTAAAAACTGCCCAGAAATGGTATATCTGGTTCAGCAATGTTCCCTTTGAAGACTAGAGGTTCTCCCTGGGAACCTATTGGTGAGATGAATGCTATCCTCAGAGCGTCCTTTTAGTGAAATTATTTAAAAACAGCACAATGAGTACAGTCTGTGCACTGTACAGCACTAAGGAGCTGTAATGTGCCCTATATTGTAATCTATATTTAAGGTATTTGGTCATTTATAGGGCCATGAAAATGATCAGAGGTGTGGAGCACCTCTCCTACAAAGACAGGCTGAGAGAGCAGGGATTATTCGGCTTGGAGAAGAGAAGGCTCCAGGGAGAACTCATTGCAGCCTCCAGTACCTAAAGAGGGCTTGTAAAACAGAGGGAGAGCAACGTTTTACATGGGCAAATAGTGATAAGACAAAGGGGAATGGTTTTAAACTTAAATAAGTGAGATTTACATTTGATGTCAGGAAGAAATTCTTTACTCAGGGGGTGTTGAGGCACTGGCACGGGTTGCCCAGGGAAGTTGTCAATGCCTCATCTTTGGGAGTATTCAAAGCAAGGGTCAATGTGAGGCCTTGAGCAACCTGATCCAGTGAGTGACATTCCTGCCTATGGAAGTGAGTTTGGAACTAGGTGATCTTCAAGGTCTCTTCCAACCCAAGCCTTTCTATGATTCTAAGATTTCATGAGGTCTTTACAAAGATTACTTGACTACTGAGAAACTTTATTCTAGGCTAAGAAATCATAAAAATTTAGGATTTGCCTGCTCATTAGTGAATCTACATGTTTATTCCCTGTACCCCTTTTTTGTTTCTTTGTGTGTCTGTGCCTTCCGCTGCTGATCCTGGTGATCCCGCAGTGTGCGCCGCATGTACATAATAAACAAGGAGGTGTGCACTCGCATTGTCTGCAAGGAGAATGAGGTCATGCAAGGTGAGTGGTATCACAGGCTAGCCTAGAAGGATAGCTGCAGCCATCTGATAGAGTTGGCTCCAAGCGAACTAGTTGGCTTAGACCCTGATCCACATGCAGTACCTGCCCTGGACTTGGAAAGAGTTCTAATGCAGTGCAGTCTTGGACATGCCATGGTAAAAAGAATGGGAAGTGCATATTGTACCACTAAGAAATGTGATAGCTCTCTATTCCTCGATCTTGATCATGGTCTAGTAGCCCCAGATACACCCTTACTCAAAGTTGTACTCCTTTGAGGTTAAAGAGTAAATCTCAGTGTTTCTGTTCATGAATAGAAGCAGGATCCAGTCTAGATTTTTATGCAATCTTTGTTGCAGCAAAATGCAAGTGGTTTTAATATGTAATGTACATGCATAAAGCCAGAAGGAAATTCATAAAAGCCTAAGGCCTTGCTTTGCTTACCTCATGTATACGAGGACTGAGCAGTTTCAATCGTTTCTGTAGATGCAGTGAAGGATGTACCTCTAGCTATTCTGCTGGTGAAGGATTTGAAGGAAGCTTTGATAACCTGTGTGTGTCTGCTTGTGTTCAGATGAGATCTGTCGCCAGCTGGCTGGCCTTCCTCCTCGACGTCTCCGCCGATCCGGGCAGCCCCTGCCTCTCCCTTGCCGGCAGCTCCTGGAGCAGCAGCGCAGGCCTGATGCTCTGTGAGCTACCAACAGTAGCAGAGGAAGAGGGAAGTCATCATCCACTACCTACAGTCCAAGACAAGTGCTTCTTGTTTGTGATTCCCCCACCATTTCCTTGCTTCTATGCCTTCTTCTACATCCTCTTCTTCATGTGCTGCAGTGCACAGAGTACCCTCTCTGCTTGTCAGTCATGCTAGCTGTTGTCATCTTTATAATCTATTGCTGAGGATATGGGATTTTCCTCTCTTTTCTCTCACACTCTGTGTGGCAGGCTGTGAGCTGCTTATTTCCCAGAGGTCTTTATAAATGTGCTGCACCTTCTCTTGCTTTGCCCCTGAAGAGAGACAGAAATGGGGACAGGATTAAGTCCTCCCCGATGGTACAGATGCCCTAAGCTGCATCTCATCTCACCCTCATGCCCTAGGACTCCTGCCCTAGATTTCCTGCCTGGCATCAGCATGAGCTCGGATGTGGTTGGTCAGCCTGAGCCTCTCTGATTCTCCCGAGCCACTGAGTTTGTTGTGTGATAGCACATTCTCCTCCTTGTGTCTGCTGGCCTCAGGGAAGTGACAGAACTGGGAGATGAGCTGTCCTCAACCCAAGGCAGACCTCATTGTCGCTGGGTGGCAACAGATCATTTATAACTACCTTTGGGAAGCTTTTGTCTCAAGCCCATTGCCTCCCTCATACACATCTGCTACCAAAAGGAAAAATTCTGGATTTAGTATGGAATTACATTTTCCTCAAGAAGATTATGTTGGGTCAGAGTGCTGCCTCTTCTGCTCCTCCTCTCCTCTCCCCTGTTCTTGTCCCTCCCTTCCCACTGAAGACATGTCTTGATGCCCATTCCAGGCAAGTTCCAGGGAACAGCAATTACAGCTGCCTCCACTCCTAAGCCCAAGAAAGCCCATGAAGAACCTGTGTGACCTGACATTACTGAGACCTTGCAATGAATTATCTTGTCTTGGTGTCTTGTCTTGGTCTGGCTACCTCCACATTCTCCAGTTGCTGTGCCTGCTTTCAATCTCCAAACTTTTGAGTTCCTACCTCCAACCTGGAAGCTCCTGCACAAAGCAGAAAGAAGTTGCAAATTGTAATCGGATGTGGGAGCAGAATCATTATCTGGGATTGCTGTTTATCTGAGACCTGGGATTTTCCTGCAGAATCTCTGACTGTGCTGACTTGCACAGAGTCAGGTGCTGATGGGGAAGGCAAACATATCTGTAGGTATAAGCACTTATACAGGCCAGCCTGGACAGAAGAATTCACTGTGGCATCACTGGATGTCTGGTCTGCTCAAGGACTTTGTTTTCTAGATATATGGAGAACATTTCCAGGTATATGGGCAGTTTTCATGATGAGACTGGGAAGGGTAAGTGGGGAAGAGCAGTCTGAATTGTAGTAATCACTCCATATGACTCTTGGTGGCATGATTCTGTGGGGCACCAGAGGATCAGCAAGACCGTGTTTCTAGGATCTCTGGGTTGTTCCCAAGTAACTGAAAGCCAGTTTGCTAGATTTGGCATTCACTGCCCTCACATAATAAATTCTTCTGCAGAACAGAAACCATTCAGTCTTGCAGGAGCATCACTCTGTTGCACGGAGCCAGGGTCACACAGTATTGGGGACAGTTTGCTGCACAGAGGCAGATGTCTCAGAAAAAAAGCAAAACAATTTGTGTAGGACCATCTCGCCAAGACCTGCATTTCTGCTGTATGCAGCAAGAACTGGTTATATCCTCTGTAGGGGAAGACACCCTGTGCAGACAGATTCCATATGAGGTCAAAATTGGTCCTAGATGGGATAAATATCTCTATATTAATCCAGTATACAGGAGAAAGAATTTCAAATCATGCAGTGACTAGAATTTTGTCCTACATAAAGGGGCACTGCACTGCAACTCAGAGGATGATGCTCCTCTCAAGTACTCCAGGCTCATGAGACTAAGAATGAAGGAGGGATTTCTTTGTACTGAGAGGGTGCATATTTCTGTAGAGAGGAGGGTACTGAGAGCTTGATCTCGAAGACATTCAAGCCTGTGAAAATTGCCAGTGTGGAGGAAAGTAGGATGGAGATGGGATGTGAGGTCTTGGAAACTGGACTAGGTCAAGTCTGCACTCTGTATTTAGAGGTGAATATACATCACTATAGATACATAACTGGGTAATATAGCTACTGTACAGCATATAGAAATTTAACTTTCATACAGGTTGGGAAGTGGTTAGAAGCCTTTCTGTTGCTTGCTTTCAGCAGGGACAGGAAGAGGTGCTCCTGTCCAGGAGAACACTGTTTTAATGCTAGAGTCTATATAATCCATATTAAAAGAAAATTTATTTCCTGTTATTCTTGGCAAGTCTCATGCGTTTGGGTTTATTTGTCTCTTGCTGTATTTCCTCCAGATTTGTGGGGAGACTTTGTTCCAGATCAAATCTGTAAGTTGGAACCTTTCACTCCCTGCTAGCCTAGTCCTCTGCTCTCACCCTCCTTTCAGTCATGAATCACAGGTCTTCCTGGGAACTCTTTTTTTTTTCCTAGAGAATCATAGCATTTTCTCCAGCATTATTTTTAACCACGGATAGCTGTGATATATTTTCCTGACAATTGGTAGCTGCTGAACACAGGGTTAACTCCTCCCAGCCTGTGAAATTTGTGCTGAGAACACATCTTTTCACTGTGCATGTGCCATGACTTTCTGGTGGAGAATTAACATCTCCAAATAAAATGCCAAGATGACTGAAATAAGAGAAAAGCTGTAATAAATATCACATAAGCAGAGAAGACTTGTTCACTACAACCATTTAACTCAATAATGGGAATAACTGAGAGACTACATTAAAAATTACACATCTAGGTCAAAAAGATTAGGAAAATTTCCTTTTCATTGATTTTCTTACTTTTCGTACTTTTTCATAGTTTCATCAGGTACTGACTACATCATGTTTTGGTTGAGAAGATGAAGCATTAAGACATGGGGGACTCTGACCAGCGTCTTCATGTGCAAGCAGTCAAGTCTGCATTTAGATGGTATTTCTAGAACAAAAGTGGCTGTGGGCCAAATTACCCATTAAGCTGCCTCTGAGAGTGCCCCATAAGTCTTCAGAACTAAACCACACAATGCAGGTTGTTGCACAACACTCTCCTCTATGCCCTTTCCTGGCTGAAGCTGTGGTGTCCTGATCTGGGACTGCTGCAATGGGGACTCAGCCCCAGTGACTGGAGACACTGCTCCCACCTGCACAGGCCAGACCCTGCTCTGTCTCTTAAACTCAGCCTTTGCAGTGCTCCTGTATTGGCACTTTCACCTGGCTGTGTGAGCCAAGCACAACATATGCCATTAACTGTTTGTAATTCAGCTTGTTCTTCCTTTTCCCTTACTCTAGAGTCGGCCCACGCTTATTAGCACTTGTCCCATACACAGATTTATCTCCCCTGCCCCTCCAACCTGAATTGACATGATTTCTGGGCATCACTTTCTCTTGCAAGCCAGGGAAGTGGTTTTAAATATGCCTCCAGGTAGGTGTGCTGCTCATACAGTTGGTGTAGCCACAAAGAAACCTGACAGAGCCCTGTTTTTAGAAGCATGATTCTGCATTTGTGACTGATTTTCATAACCTCTCCTGACCTGGAGAGGGAGTTAGATGCCCCGTGGTCACTTCCCACACAATAGCTGCTCCTTCTCCTTCTGCTGTCAGCTCCCCAGTACCCTTCCATGTGACCAGTTTGAAGGTTGCTGTTTCAAGCCAGTGCGCCGATATCTGCTCCCCTGCTTGAAGCAGTGCCTCACTGCTGGGCATGTGGAGCTCACAAGCATGGGAAGGCTGTTGGAAGCAGCTGGCATGTCACCTAGAAGCTCCTGAAACTTGTTGCCTGAATCTTGTCCACAAGAACCCAGAGCAAAGAGATTGGCATCGGGCATCTCGGCTTGGAAGGATCCCTCAGGGATGTACTGCTGGCTGCTGTGTGGGGTTGTCCTTCACAGAGGGGACTGGTCCTTGCCACCCACCCAAAAAGAGCACCTCTACTAGACAAAGAATAGCTGGGTTGAAACCAAAAGGGATTTTAGCTTTAATTTTTCATTAAAAAATTGTTTGGGTGTTTTTTTTTCCAGAGGTATTAAAGTACACAATCTTGCAGCATTGACCCCTGACAGCACACAGTGACATTGTTTGACAGGGTACGTTTGTCCAGTTGTGAACAGCTCCTTGACTGGGGCACAGGAAATCTGAATTCCAGTTCTGAACCTCTTCACCCCCTGCTCTCTGATCTTTAGCATATTGCTTTTATCTCTCTGTTCCCTGCATCCATAGCCCCTGTAATGCAGCAAGTTGGAATAAACTCCCACAAAATAAAGAGCTGGAGATTAATAAATTTTAAAAAGTTATTCAAAAATGTGTGGGAAATATCACAAAGGTATTTGACTGTCTACTTTTGCTATTAGTGTAAATTATTTTTTCAAATAAAAACGTGTTCAATTATATGAGTTATAGCACTTAAAATGCAACCAGCATGTGCTTGTTGCTAGTATGCTGAAGTATATTTAAAAAGTGAATTGTGAAAAACATTCCATCCATTTAATGAATAAATTATCTATCAGAATGCAGTTTGGGGCATTTTAATAAGATTGCAATTTTCATACAAATACAGATGGTCACAAATTAGGAAAAAGGTGTAATAGAGAAGCATATGTAATTCAATGTGTCTAACTAATAAGTCATGTTAGATCTCACCTGCTTAAATATAAGAATAAATGCTGTAGATTTAAGCTGTGCATTTCTTTTTAAATAAATGTGGATATTGAGATTTTATATGCTCCCAGTTAAGATCACAGATAAACTTACACTGAAAGTTAGCATGCAGAGCTAACTTCAAAGCTGCTCAGATTGCTCAGAGCCTTGTCCAAGTCAATTTTGAAAAATTCAGCAGGGGATGGAGAATCCACAACTTGTTCTAATATTGCACCATGCTTAAGATGGAGAATAGTTTTCTGATGTCAGATCAGAAATTCCTTCATTGCATCTTTTGTCTGCTGCCTCTGTTCTTTATGCTGTGCATCTCTGAGCAAACTCTCCTACAATATTGCTGCAGACAACTTAATAAAATAACAAGAAGAAACTTTTAATTAATACAAAGAACAAGTTTAATTGCAAAACAAGGCATTAAAATTATTGAAATAAATTGTCTTCCTTTGGGGAAATTGTGTTAAAAAATGCAAAACATGACCAAAAAATCAGCGGTTCAATTAAAGAATTTGCAGTCTGTGTCCCTGCAGCAGGCCACTTTTTCCTTGCTCATACAGCATCTACTTCTTGTGCTCTACCTTCTCACCCTGAGGTCACTTTCAATTTCTCTGCCTTGGGTTTGGTAGCCTTGGGTTTCACTGTTTTGCCCTTCAGTGGATCTTTGACTCTTTTGGTCTGTCAGTTTTCATATTCTGTAGCTATTTCTTGGCCATGCTGGCTGCCAGCATCTTGGCTTTCCTTGGGACTTTCTTCACAGCCAGAGCTAACCAGGGCTCCTTGGCAGTGCCAGTCAAGGGCCAGGTGGGTCTTGGCCTTTGCTGCCTTCTTGGCACCTTCAAAAGTGTTTCTTTTCTCACTGCCTGGTGCAGTGAGTGTAGTTGCTCCTGACATTCTCTGTCCTGTGGTGACCAGTGATTTTCTCATCAGCTCTGCTTGATGCCAGCACTGTCATCACACACCCTCTCTTTTGGCTCCATTGTCCATCAGCTGCTCTCTTTGTAGTTGCTTGTTAGTTTAACTTAGGAAAGGCATCTGAACTCTTTGTACTCTCTGCAAACCTCTTTGCCATTTCCCTGAGAGTCCCCAGGGGCGCTGCCTCACGGTAGATTTTTGCGTCTCCAATCTAAAAGCTTTTCTGGCCTTGTTCCCAGTTTTCCAAGTTGGAATGGGACCAAGCAAGCCACCCTTAGGTAAATTTGCCTGTGCCTTACCTGTGCCTGCACAAAAATGATAGAAGAGAGGAGTGTACCTGATGTCCCCATGTTGAGCACAAACTGGGAAAAAGGAAATTACCTGGCTGTGTATGTGAGTGCAAGATCAAGAGATGCCCATGAGGACTTCCAGCCAAGGAAACCTTGTACAACTGCAAGGTACTCGGCACACGACTGACAGCCAAGGAACATCCAACACATGATTTTTTACTGCCTTCCCAAGACTTCTGTCTCAGTCTCTCCAACAAACTTCTCCAAAGACAACAAGGAGGTTAAAATCAGGATCTACCACCCAGGCCCCAGGTGCAAGCTCTTTTTGCACTGAGTAGCACGAGCTGCAGCACTGCACAAACACGAGCTAATCACAGGCAGCACTGGTTTGCAAAACCGTAACCACAGCTAGAAGGTAAGCCTCATTGTGGAAAACTGCAGTGCAAAACCGAGCTTGTCCCTGTGGCTAGCGGGTGATTGCAGAGATAGGAGACCAGTGACTTCCACTGAGGAGGGGGAAGATGAGATCTGAAGCAGGGTGTGGGACTGAGGGGGACCAGAGGGACCAGGGGCCTGAGCTGTAGGAGAATGCAATAACACTGGAACAGAGCCTGCAGCTCCCTGGGCACACAGAGGGTGTTCTCCAGGTCAGCACAGAGTCAGGAACCAAGTGAGATGGGCAGGGCATGCTGGAGGCTGAAGCTGCAGGCACTGCAATGGGAAGCAGCAGGGTGCAAGCAGCTCTGGTAGGTACTTTACCTCCCAGCTCTCAGCATGGGGAGGGCACCATGTGCCCATGCATTCTGCTTTCATCACAAAGTCGGTTCCTCTTAGCATAAATGAGAGAAGCTACCAAACATGTCATGGTCTCAAGGCAGAGAACACACTAGAGGACATTTAGCCTAAGTACGTGGATTTTGGTCACATTTCTTATCTGCATTCATGATGGGGAAGCCATTCACTAGGTCTTAAACTCCTCAACCCAATCTAGCCCCTTTCCTGCCTTCCTGCTGGTGATCCCAGCAGGTGTGACTCTCTGGTAGCAAGGGCTGGAAGTGCTGTGGCCCAGAGACATGGTGGAGGGTACTAATACAGGCAGGAAGAGAAAATAATTGTGGGGTCACAGGGCCAGAACTGAGGATTATTAGTTCCTATAAGGAGCCCCGAGCTGAGCTGGCAGAGAGCTGCAGGGCAAGAATGAGAAGCACTCACAGGGCTGTGGTTGAAAAATGTATACTCAATTCAATACTTTCACCCTAATTTGCCTCATCCCCCAGCACCAAAACAAGCTCAACAGTGAAACAAAAATAAACTGCAGGTCAAGTCTCCAGGTAAAGATTTTGCAGTGCAAGCCTGGAAAGCTGAATTACTAGTAAAACACACCATAACGTATAACCTCAGTGCACACTCAG